AGAAAACAGGTGTACGTCAGGGTGCAGAACGAACGAAAACCCAAGCGGAAAATGATACGATAACCGAAACGACAAAAGAACGTGCAACTGGTAATCCAACAAAATCACATGCAATCCACTACCAAAACATGATAATCATAAGAATCCGTAAATCAACCGGGTAACGAAATCATGCAGCTAGCGATCAGAAATCATCTAAGTCACAAGGTCATACACTAGATGAAATTAATACTTAAAAATCTACAATTCGAGACGTAGTACGTCGATCATACACTAGATGAAATTAATACTTAAAAATCTACAATTCGAGACGTAGTACGTCGAGCGAAATAATCTAAACAAGGAAACCCTCATGTATATACCATATGTCTCGAATTGTAAATAATTAAATATTAATCCCGATCTATGTATGAAAAGAAAATACAACTAGCCTATATCTCACAAGAACTCATACTTATCCAAGAAACGAGTCATGTATCTAGCCATCCTATAACAGGTCACCGGTCACATCTCACACAGAGTCAACGCTCCTGTCATAAAAATACAGCAGAGAAAAACACAGGTAAAAATATCACTTTAAATAATAATTTAAAAGTATTAGAAAATTTATTCAAATAAGTATTAAAAATTTATAGTCAAAATAATAATAATAACAATAACAATAACAATAATGAATAATTAACTATTAATTTAAAGTTTTACCGAAATAATTAAATTTATAATTAGTAAAACTATTAAAATAAATATAAAATCTTATTTTAAATCATAGAAAATTCTAGAGAAATTGGGAAAATACAAATACTCTTTTAGAAAAATAATATTTAATACTTAAATACCAGAAAATTATTTAAACCAGTATTGAAAATTTACAATCATTACATGCAAGAACAAGAAAATATAACATGGTAATGTTTTAGATTAAAATAAGGAACGATAATAGATATCAAGTAAATTATTCAACTAAAACAAATAAAACAAATTAGCAGTATAATTCCTTATTCACAAATAATAAACATTGCCCTTTGCCCACTTTAAATAACATGAAGAGAGAAGTAATTGGAAAAAAAATCCCTCCGTCTCAAATTTCTCATTGTCGAAAACTAATCATACTCATTAAGATTTCATGCAAGGGAATTCCCATCACCAACAATCAAAAGTTGAAAATCCAAACGTCAAAATCTCAAAACACCAATACGAAATATTCCTCTTGCAAACGAAAAACCCTCAACCCATAAAATCTCATCAAAACTATTAATTGATAATAATTTATTGATAATATTGTTAACAATTTAGAAAGATTATTTGAACTAAGTTTATCATCTCATCCAAACTATTAATTGATAATAAATTATGAAGGTTTAAAAACATAATCTTTTTGTTTAATTGGGTTATTTGCATAAATATCCCTTAAATCATTGTATTTTCAAAAATACCCTGCCTCAGCTGAGTTTAAGGTGTATTGATAATCAAATTGATGCTCAAACGAAAAACCCTCAACCCATAAAAATCTCAAGACACCAATACAAATGAACCCACTTCGGTTTTCCACTTAAACACAAAACCCCATGTAGATTTCACGAAACAAAACAACAAATCATTAAATCCCAGGAGAAAGAAGCTCACTTAGAGGTCGAAGACGACGCTCCGATGGTGGAAGCCATTGAGATCGTGGGAGATTTGAGGCCATAGCCATTAAGTAGTGCTTATAAGAAACCCCCTTTAACTTTTAGATCTTATCAAAAAACTCCCTCAACTTTGGAATTTTATTGCAGTTAAGCCCCATCATACTTTCCAAAGTCAAGAAATGTCACATTATTATTTAGCTAGACTATGAATAGGTTCTATTAGTCCTACGTAACGTAAACTTCACTTTCCCTTGGTAAATCCGTGTACATATTTATATTTCTTGTTCAACATCTAATATTATTAGTTTAGTAAACTAATACATAAACTAATATAGAAATTAAGATTAATGCTGAATTGGAATGGACAAATGTAGGAATTGAGATCAATGCTAAACTAGAAAGGATACAAGTTAATGCTAAAAATAATGGTCAAATTAAAAGAAACAATTAATGGTTAGAAATTTTATAAAAAAACATAAAGGATACAATTGTAGTTTTGCAGTTAAGCCCCATCATACTTCCAAATTTGCATGACACCCCCTTTTGATTTCCTAAATGAACAAGGCAAAGCTCCCTATTAAGAGGCAAAGAGCATGACTCTTCTAAGGTTTAGTCTTGCATCGGATATAAAGAAAAAGTACTGATGAAAAGTTGCAATTTGTGTAGTACATTGGATATAATCTAACTTATTAAAATTGTTAAAGAAATGCATGTTGTCTGATTATTTTGGTACTATCAAACTTAATGTTTAGAAAGAAGAGTTGACTAATTAATTCTAAACTCTATTGATTAAGGTGTATTATAATTTTGTCCCCTATTGTTATTGATATAATTTTCTTATGATTTTTTATTTTTTGACACATATTTTTTTACCTATAGGATAACACCATCTCAATTCCAATTTCGTACTGGGTAACAAAATACAAGGTGTTATGTACGGAGAGACTATCAAAAAGTTTATAGATATGCTTCGAAAGAATAAAATTATATTCATTTCAAATGGAGAAGTGAAAGGAATAAACCCAGATTTTCCAAATATCCACAAGTCGCTTGAATTAGTATTAACAAAAGACGTATCTATCAAAGAAGCACCAACAAGTTTCTACTTAGAGAACATATTGAGCAATTGTGTCCCATTTGAAGAAGCATTTTTCATGTAAGATGCAACAAAAATTAGTACGTACTTATAAAATTCTTACTTTAATCTTCAAAAATGAAATGTTAATTTATAGAATAATAAACTTTTTATAAAATTACTTGCAGATATTCTTGCAATAACAACTAACGTGATCGATCCGGTGATCAACTATATTACAAAACATAACAAACCAGACAATAGGAGGGAAATCTCGCTAATGGATAAAAGATATATTCATAATACTTATTTCTAATATCATAAGAAAAAAAAATAAGATTAACATCTTTCTTTTTTCATATACAGTGGAATGACTATGCGCACAATTTTATTTGGGGATTTGGCTACAAATGAAGGATCAATTCTTGAAGCCGAAATGAAATATAAGCCTGTTCAGATTTTAGAATCTCTATATATAAATGTACATAATTTATTACTAAAATTAATCCTATAATTATCTCAATTTTGCAGGAGAGACAAGCATATCGTCGCAAATTATATCAACAATATATATCAACCTAAAAATACAACTAGCTAAAAAATTAACGGAATGGTAAGTAGAACAAGCATACTTTCATATAACGCAATAATGAAATGGTATTATATTTTAATCTAATATCCAGGTTTCATTTGGAAGAAGCCACAAAAAGAAAAGGATATCCATCGATACTTTTTATAAATGCAAAAGAAGTTTAAATTAGTGATATTATGTATACATCACAGAATTCGATACATGTACAATATTAAAAACCTATTATTATTAACACAATTAAATCTAACAAAATTTTGTCAATATACAGACACGTTATTGCACATTTAAGGCAAAGATAACTACTATTTTGAATAGACTCGAGCCATGGTTTTATGCTTGCAATGGCTGCAACAAGAAGGTAGATAAAGACGTTAGTAAAGAGTGTCTGAATGATAAATGCCACAGAATCATTGATGACTCAGTAACAAAGTTAAGTAATATATCTTGTTTATGGTATGAACATATTAAAATACAATATTAACTCTCTCTATAAATCAACAATGAAAACTACAGGTACATAGTTAAGATTCTTATGGAAAATAGCACAGATAATGCAAGAGTAACACTGTTTGATGTAGCAAAAACTCTTATTGGATGCACGTACAGTAGAAAAATTCATTACAAAAAAAAAGAGGTAATTCCTAACTCTATTAAAGTAATAATTTAGAAAATAAAAAAAAATTCCATATACATTAAAATAACGTTTGTTCTCATTGAGACAGAAAAATCACCAGACTCCATATTTCCAAAAATTTATGTTGAACATCGGAAAAACATTCAAATTCCTGGCGAAGTTAGATGAAAAGACAAAAGATGAACGAGGCGAAGGAAATATAATAGCACAAGAAATCCAACTCCAGCCTGATATTACAATCGACGTAGATGATGAAAATGCTACTCTAGAATTGCCCATGAAAAAGATAAAAGTGGAGAAATATTAATCTCGGTTCAATTAAAATATGAAACAAAAATAATAAAGAATAATGTTTTTTGATCATTTTATATCATATCTTAATTTTTGAGTAGAATTAGAAATTTTTATAAGGGATTTTCATACAATATTATAGTAGTTTTGTATGCATATGTGATTGTTTTCATCACAGAAAATTATACTATAGTTACCAATATTATTTAGTTTTTGTCTTTTTATTACTGCTTTTGGACATTTATAGGTGAATTTCCCTGTATTTTCTGTAATTGGTATGTTTTGTTCTTCAAATTTCATTATAAATTTCCGTATGGGATTGATCTAATCTTACTGCTTTTGGACAACTACTCTCTAAGTGTTAAGTTCTACGATGCGCAATTGTTTAATCTTCATGTTTATTTGAGTTCGTTCTAAATTTGCTTATAGGTTTGCTCTAATCTTACTGTTTTTGGACAATTACTCTCTGGTTGCATTGTTCTGCAATGCGCACTTGATTAAAATCTTTAGGTTTCTTTGAGTTTCATTTTAAATTTCTTTATAGGTTTTGCTCAAATCGTTTATAGGTTTGCTCAAATTTCTTTATGGATTTTTAATAATATTTAAATAAAAATAATAGTAAATCTAATAATTCAAATTTACATATTTGAACTTAAAATGAATTTGACTTATTTATAATAATAAAATAAATATAAAAAATATTTTAATATTTTACCACGTGCACGTGCACATGCATAAAAACAAGTAAATATATAAAAATTTATCCTTCTCCTTAAACGTGATCCATCAAGACCACAAGCGCATGACCCAAAACCCCATCAATCTTTTCCCATGGCCATTTCCATCGTCCTCCCTCTCTCCTCTTCAACTCCAAATCCCTCTAACCCAGATAAGCCCAAAACAACAAAAAGGCCATGCCCACCAATCTCTATCTCCACAGATATCCATCTCATCTCAACCCTCAACACCTCCAGGCGCCTCTTCTCTCCTCCAACTTCTCCTGCCACCGTTTTCCCGCCCTCTCCTCCGAACGGCCGGCCTCACTCGTCGGGAAGCTAGCCAAGGCCGTCACCCACAGCTCCGTTGTTGTCTCCGTCTTCTGCCGAGAGAAGTTCTTGAAAGGAGATGAGAGCCCAATTGAGGGTTACTCTACGGGTTTCGGGTTCAAGGAGGTGTATGAGAGGATGGTTTCTGTGCCGGATTCGGATCATCAGCTTGTGGGTTTTGGGCGGGCGGTTTCGGATGGTGGGCTGACGGCATCCATTCATGACGTGGTGGTATGATTTTTCGGTGAATATACATTTTTTGGACAATATTTATGCTGTACTTTTTCCTATCATATAATCTGGTGCTTAACATCTCCCCCAATGCTATTTCGAGAGAGAGAGAGAGAGAGAGAGAGAGAGAGGGGGGGGACCCTCCCTAATGATGCAGGTTGCTTATACTCTATTAAGTTCCCACTGTTGGTTATCAAGTTGTTTCAGCCTTATCTAATTGAGGTTATCCTCCGTTTGGGAACGGAGTATAAATAAATAGAGGTATTGTTCAAGTGGAGGTATAGGCTATGCAAACATCACCTGTCTAGTTTTTCTATACACTTGTTATAAGTCTTTTTAAATTAATGCTACAATTCCAGTGTCTTGAACGCTTGTTATAATCATATTCGACATGAATAGACAGTCTCATGGCCATCTAATTTGTAATTTAATCTCATTTAAGGACCAATATCACTCGTTTGCTGCCAACTGTTCTTCATACTTCTTGATTTCCAGGACAACATTTCTTTTAAACTTATCATAAAATGTATGATCTGTCATCAATGAAACATATTAATCAAGATGTAGTTAAACATTGTCAAATGGAACCATATGCAGTCCTGTCTTCTATCCACACAATGAAGTACAGAGTATTACATAAAATTTCTTAATGGAGCCAACATCGAACTGATAACATTTCAACAAGGTAAGCTTCAGTAAAACGGCGCTAGGAAAAACGTGATTGTGAATTTAGCAAATAACTTTTAGAAAAAAGTCTTAAACTCAGTCTTGATTTTTGCAAAATGATCAATTGACGTACCTTATCAATTTTGTGCAATAATTTAGTTTTGAAAGGAAGAACTATCACATAACCTTCTTGATTTTAATATCCAACAACATGTGGACATTCTAACTGGCTAGACAATCAATATAAATGAATGACTTTTAGGGTGTGCTTGGCAATCTTTCAAAATTGGGTCAGGTTCAAACGTCGTCCAGTTTTGAAAGATTTTTTTGTTTGGCAAACAAGAGGGCCAGATTTGGCCCTGTTTTCGTTGGCCAAAATATGACATCTAAACTAGTTTTCTAGACCCGAGGGGGCTGATCCAAAAGAAAACTAATTTAGCACAACATTGGGCCAGGACTAACCCTGTAACAGTTTTGTGTAGTTTGCCAAACACACCCTTAGGCTATCCATTTGATGTTCCAGTTTTAGGTTAGAATCTAGAGTGCACATAGCAATTTCTCTCCATTGGTGCCATCACCTTTTTTTTTAAAGCTAAGCCTGGAGGTTAGGACTTCTAAGTCTGAAGAATTGTTTCACTTCCTTGGCTTCCTTCAGTTGCCCATATATGGCACCTCGTCGATAGACACTATGATCTAGGATTCTTCATTATCTTATCTGCCTTTATACGCTTGAGTTCTCAAATCTTGATGAACTTTGAGTTACGTTATTTCCTCGGTTACTTAGGATTTCTAGTTGAACAAATTTTACTAATCTAGTAATTTACCATATGATATTGCAAAAAACATGATAATACTAACTCTTAACATTATTGAACTCAACAAGGTTCGTAAGCTTTCTTAGTGTCCCAACCTAGAAGGAGATTGCACAACTCATAAAATGTAAAGCCCTCCAAGAAAATCATTCAGTCTGACTCAGAAATAAATAATAATTCCTTCCTCATTTATTGAAGGACATGCATCTAAGCTTGGTTCCCAAGAACTACACTAATGTGCTGTACTATATGACAAAATAAATCATTCTAGAAACTAGTGATGTAGACTGGAAGTATATAATGTATCTATCTAAAATGCTGTTTTGTTGTGTATCTAATATTTCATATATTCATTTAAATGGGTAGCCGTGCTCCACCTTCTCCAGGCGAAGGGGAAGAAACTTATTTTCAGCATGAGAGGTATGACTGGTATTCAATATTTTCACATACTATGTATGGTAAATGGTCTTACAGACAATATGAACCAGCACGAAGGAGTAGAATTGTTTAAAGTTATCCCCAAATTTTTTCAAATAAATTTCTATAGATTGGCCTATCTATCATTAGTATATTTTTCGGTTAACTCTTGTAGTAGTATAATATATGATGCTCTGTTATGCATAGGCTAATGTTTATGCATAGACTAATGTGTTTACAGACTTTCTCCAATTATCACACCTATATTTTCCAATTTTTAGTAACTTGGTTTACAGCTAGAAAGTTCTTTAGTTGATGATTACTTCCAATTTCCTTGGAATGTGTTGGGAGAACTTGACATGAAAAGACACCATTTATTTACTTAGAATGCCATCAGAGATGCATAAGTTTCATGAGGACATCAGATTAACACTTATGCTTTCTTTGCGAGCTTAGAAAAACTAATAAATTACTATCGTGGTAGAAATAATGAACTACTATCCTGAGGATTATGTGAGACACATAGAGCAGATCCTAGTTGCTCATCAAGTTCAAATTCTTGAGAAAATAAAGGTAACTAAGTCGTAATAAGTGAAATGTGTTATACAAACAATCTCTACATTAGAGCAGCCAAACATCAACATTATTAATTATACAGGTCACTTAAAGCATAATTTAGATTACATATGTTGCACACCTTTAACAAATTACAGACTATAAGCATTCACACCCTTATATGCATTCTGAATCATTTCTATTCAGTGTTTTCCAGGTTATGCCTTCAATGCGGAGACTGGGTATTGGTTGTAAGATTTTGGGAAGAATCGTGAGGTATGGCCAAGTGTTATATCTGTTTCTTTTGTCTCAAAGAAAAAAAGGGACAAACTTCCCATATTCATAATGCAATTTAGAATTTAAAAATGATTTCGAGTTATCTCTTATCGTATTACATGCAATACCAAAGAGATAATGCCAGAAATGTAATGGAGAAGAAGTGAGAAAGATAAGGAGGGACCAGAGATATAAAAGAGGAGATACATACCCCTATCTATCATTAATCAGTTTCAGAGATAGAAGCTTATTATAGGCAGTAGAGTGACAACCCAAATTTTGCTAAAAAGTAAAAACCCACCTCAAATTCTAATATAGATAATATTAACTCTGCAACAAGTTCAAATACTCTACAACAAGTTCAAATTCTAGACAATACCATTTAATATCCTAATCTAAAAGATGTATGGCAATAAATGCTGAAAAGATTATTCTAATCCAACTCAATCTCAAACTATTGCATAGTAGATAAAGAGGAATTTAAATTCCTAAAGATAGTGTAATTCTTAACTCTTAACGTCACTTTTGTGGTTTCAATGGGTCATCTATTGCAGTAACCTTTGGAACATTATGTGCCTCTAATTTTTTTGCTAAGGAGGTTAAATGTTATGACTTTTTTTGTGTACTTACACACGTGCATTTGCATGCCTAGACTAAAATGTCATGCCATTCTTTCAAGTGTATATCTATGATGGCAAGAAATTCTTTTATAAATTGAATTAACATTGCATTATTGACTGCACTATTTCTCTTATTTCTAGATTTTCTCCTAAACCAATGTAGTGTAGTTGTACATGCTGTTTTTTGAAACTATTAAGCTTATAATCTATTAGTAACCTGATTTAGGCTTCTTTATGTTTCAGTGACACTAAACCGCTGTAAAATTAGTAAGATCTGGAAAAATTAACAATTTAACACATAAATAAATGCATCTTACATAAAGTCAATAACTTGTTACTTAGATATCATTGTTAGTTTTTTGGTGAGCATCCATCCATAAATAATCTGATTGAATCAAGTCCTTTTCTGCATGTACAGTGGTCACAGAAGATTCATAATTTTCCATGGATTCATAAGAACTTTATCGATTTTTATCAGCTCCTACCTTTTTCAGTTAACAACAGTTTTCACTGCATTTTCAGATTAGATTCTAACTATCTTTTCCCTTGAAAATATTCTTCCAGGGTTCTCACTAGTCGTCAGATCTATGACATTTCAGCCTTGTGCTCAGAAAAGGAGAGGTATTTCCTTGTATGTTATCCTATTTCTGTTGAACTCATGTTGATACTTGAGTTTGAGATAGATGTAGGCTAATCATGACCTCAAAATGCGTAATGATGCTCGCAACATTGGGGAATATAAAATGGCCCTTTAGTTATTTAAGTTACTTCCTCACAATATAATGTCGTACTGGATAAAAAAGCGGTTGCATTTCGACATCAACCTAATAGTAATTGAGAAGATAATCTTGTTGATGTTAAAGACCAATTTTGCCCGGCACCAGGGAATATGCAACCATTAATCACATAAAAGCCTGAATGTGTACGGATACAGAAGGTTAGAAGGAAAAAATGACGTAAATGAAGATGAGGATAAGAATAATATAAAATGTTGGAACCATGGAATATGCAGCCCTTAATTGCATAAAGAAGGTCATAAACAGATGCATGTGCAGTATCTAAGGTACTTGGAAGATGATGATGAAGATAAGAGTAATATTAAGGGTCTAAATAATTATTCTTAGTGACATTAATTAATTTAGATATAATTGGTCTATAGTTATATAAATCCCTTACACTCAATTTGGATGGGGGGATGGAAGAAAAGGGAAGGAACGGGAAACAATTCACCCTGTTTTGGAGTTTTTTTAAGAGGTGGTGCATTCCCCATTTTCCTCCATTCCACCCAATTAATACAATTTTCACCCCCTTTTGGGGTGGGATGGATGGAAAGGGGATTTTCTTACCTTCCTTTCTATTCTCTCCCCCATGTTGCCTTTCTTTCCTCTCCCATAGTGAACTCTCAAACAAGTTATTAGTTAACAATCTCCATCCAAACTAGAAAGTATAAATCATACATATAGCAACAAATTCAACATTTGGAAATAATTAGGTGAGGGTTAAAGAGTGTAGGAATGGGAAATTCTGGAACTATTCAAAACTAGTTTAAAGAATGAGGATGCATGATACATACATTTATATTCAAGCAATATAAAGCTGGACCTTAGGGATAATGTTCTCATTCTCAAAGATGTTTTCTATACGCTAGGAATTTAATGCAGTTTGATTTCTATTCCCAGCTTAATGAAGAAAGGATTGGAAATTAGCTTCTTTGATAACAAGGTTTTTACAGGAAAAAACAATGAACTGTATGCTAGGGCACATGTACCCAAGCATGAATTATGTATCCTATTAGTAGTTTGGAATAATTCTAATAATAAAATTATCAATTTAAACTGTTTGTCATGTTTTTCCTGAGTCTTAATTATGACATTCTAGACTCGGACATGCTATTATTTCAAAATTGAAAGAAATTATCAGAATGAACTGGCTACCTGCATCGTTTAACTGATCTACTAGAAAAATTCTTGTTACTACTATAATAGTAGCACGCATGTTTAATTGTCCCGTGCGAACAATATTTAACTAGTTTCAGAAAACCTTTTATTGGCGAGCAAAGAGCCAATGAACTTTTAAGGTTGATACACTCGGATATTTGTGTCTTCTAAGTGTTAGAACCCATAGTAAAAAAGAATATTGTATTATTTTTATAGATGGTTATTCTAAGTTTTCACATGTCTATGTTATCTCTAGAGAATTAGAAGCTTTTCAATGCTTTAGGAGACATAAGAAAAAGTTTGAAAATCAACTTGGAAAGAAAATTAAAATATTAAGAATCAATAGAGGTGGGGAATATAACTTTAAAGAATTTGAGAGTTGTATTGCATTCAACATGGAAATATAAGGCATATAACACTGCCATACACCCAACATAACGGTGTTGCTGGAAGAAAGAAAGAATAGAATATTACTTAATAATGTTAGATGCATGTTGTTTCATTCTGGTCTCTCCAAAAGATTTTGGGGGAAAAAGTATGACTAACTGCAAATTACATTGAATAGAATTCCCACCAAGTTAGTAGCAGCATTTACACCTTACGAGTTATGTAATGAGAGGAAACATAATCTAAGTTATTCAGAAAATGGAGATATATAGCTAATGTTCTCATTCTATACTAACGTAGAGGTAAGTTAGACTTTAAAACATTAAATTGTATAAGGTAATCAGAAAAGTCAAACGGCTACAGGTTCTACAATAAAGAAAAAGAGGTAATTAAAAGTAGATGTGCTACATTTCTAAATTTTCTATAAAGCCTAGAGGAAGAGGAACAAGTTCAAGAGGAAACAAAACCTCTAGCTATAATAGATGATTATTATAGTGTTGTTCCTACTAAGGATTCAGATATTGTGAATGAACTTAATCTTGAAAATGATAAAATACCTATGGAAAATAATGTATCTTATCAAGTGGTTGTAGCAATTAAGGCCAAGATCATAACCTTCATGGATGGATGATTACTACTTGTATTCATGTGAGACATCTTGTTTCTCAGTGGATACGAACATAGAAGAATAAGACCCCTTAATCTTCTTTGATGCGATGAAATCATATGAATTAGTTTTATAGCTAGAAGCCATGAGAGAAAAACTTGATTCTATAGAAAATAACAAGTTTTGAGAATTATGTGATCTATCAAAGAATAGAAAAGCCGTAGGAGGCAAATGGGTGCTTAAAAAGAAATACCATATGGATTGGTCTATCGACAAATTTAAAGCATGGTTAATTGCTAAGGTTATCTTGTAGCAAAATTTGCATCAATAAGAATTATTTTGGCTATTGTTGCATATCTAGATTTGGAGTTATTTCAAATGGATGTCAAAATAGCATTCCTTAACGGAGAGTTGAATGAAGTAAAATATATGCGACGAGGTAAATGTTTTAAGGTGGAAGGACAATAGCATAATGTTTCCAAATTAAATAAATTTTGTGCCGTTTAAAAAAAATCTTTTAGATAGTGATATCTTAAATTTCATGATGCGATCACTAAGTTTGGTTTTGTTCAGAACAAATTAGGTAATTCTTTATATGCCTTGAAAAGTGAGAGCAAGTTTACTATATTCTCTTATATGTGGATGATATAATGCTAGCGGGAGATGACATGAAAATATTGAACAAACAAATGCAAATCTTAGTGAAAATTTTGAGATGTATCGTGTACTCTCAGAATTCAAATAATCTGAGATAGAAAGTCTAGAATGTTAAGGTTCAACTAGTAATAATATTTAAGATCAGTTCTTAAAAGATTTAAAATGCAGCAATTCTCCACCAACTCCATTGGTTATTTGAAAGTGGTTGTGTAAAGATCAATGCTCTGGAGAGGGGCAGAAGTCATTAAATGCGCCTTTTGCTCAAGCAATTGGAAGTCTGATATATGCAATATTGTGCACCAGACCCAATCTAACTTATGCTATAAGTCTAGTTAGTCCATATCAACATAATCGGGAACTAATACATTGGGAAGCTATTAAAAAGATTATGATATATATCTGAGGTACATTGACTCACATATTGGTTTATCAAGCCAGTTCGTTTGATTGCGTCAGTTACTCCGATGCTGATTTTGGAGGTGATAAAGATGATGCAAAGTCCACTTCGGGGCACTTGTTAATCTTTGGAGGAGCTATTTTTTAGAATAACAACAAATAGAGGCGTGTTGCTAGATTTTGGAAGCTGAATATATAACTTGCAGTATGAAAACTATATATGCTGTTTGGATAAGATGTTTTGTAATCGATGTAGACCTCAATTTGTTAGGAGAACCTATTGATATTTATTATGATAATTAGACAGTGATTAGCCTGATAAATAGTGGTGCATATAGTTGCAAAGAGAAACATATTGAGATCCAATATCACAATTTTTGAGACATTGTGGAAAATGGAGAAGTGAAAGTCATTTACATCCCTACTGTAAATATGAATAATGATCCTTAACAAAGTGAATGTCAGCATAATCTTTTTATGAAACATATAAGTTTGATGGGACTTATGAATAAATAAGTCAAAGAAAATTTTAAGAATAATGAAATAAGAGTTACTACCTATGGATAATGGGAGTAAAACAAGCATATTATCTCACAGGTAGTGGGAGGAACATCACTGGGTTAATCTGGTCAAGTGGAAGATGTTGACTTGACTCGGTCTTGTGTGACCAAGTCAACCATGCACTACAAATATGGTCAGTCCAAACTGTTATAACCGTTTGGGCAAACCACTGCCCAAATGTTTTCAACCCTTTGGATTGAAAAAAAAAATCACATGGGCAAGGGCTGTTGGGTATGGCTCTACCCAAACGGTTGTAACCATTTGGCCAATTTCTTAGACGGTTTAAACCGTTTGGTCAAGTAAATAAATTTTATTTTTTCTAAAATTTAGAAAAATATTGCCCAAATAGTTTTCTCTGTTTGCGTTAGTATGTGTCCAAATAATCACAATCGTTTCTACTCATATTTTCCTAAACAGTCACAACTGTTTGGCATGTTTTTGGCCAAACATTGACGGATGTCACTGCCCCCAAACGGTTTAAACCGTTTAGGCAAGGGATTCTGATTTTTTCATCAATTTGACTGCTCTATTTTTCTACATGTTTACAGCTTAATATATATACATCCCACACAATGCGATAACTCAATATATCATAATGAAATAAAAAACAAATATATATAATCGGAAGCATTCAACCCATACAATCAGCCAAGCGAAACCACATGAAGCGGACAAAGTCTCTACTACTCCCAAATATACACAATTACAAAAAATATATAATATTTCTATCTATAATATCCAAAATGTCTATAACATTCAAAATAAAATAAGAATGGTCTGATCCATCCAATCAAGGAACTAAAGAAATTCCCTGGAGAATGTTTTTTTAGGACAAGCCCAAATGCCTCAAGTTCAAAAACATACTAGCAATATCCTCCTATGATAAATCCTGAGCTGAACCTTAAGGGGGTGTTAGTCAATTGGGACATTTTCATGCAAAATGGGATAATTATTAAAGTGGAATAATTTTTTCGCTAGTGAGATTTTTTAGTGGGATAAATAGGAACAATTTTGTGAAGCGGGATATTTTTTGATAAAATAACGTGGGATAAATTTTTATAATCATGAAATATATA